ATTATTGTAAGGACCACAATTTTCTCTTAGTCTAGAGATGCGCACGACGATGGAGGGTAAAATAGAGACCTAGCGTCGTTTGGAGCATCGCCGCGCATGTATAAGAGCTTAGCTCCATCTGTGACCCAACGCCATCTGCGAAGCGAGGAGGAGATAGAGAACCAGTGCCGCGTGTGAAAAGTTAGCCCCACGCGTGAAGATAGGGATAAGTATCGCCATCTGTGGAAGAGGCCTAACGCCAGCTGTGAAGAGAGAAAAGTGTGACGAACCAAACTTTTCCCAGCCAGCTAGAAGGCATGGCGGGATAGGGAGGCTGAGGAAGAGGTCAGCGCCAGTTGGAAGAGCCGAGTGAGTTAAAGAAGAGGTCAGTGCCGGTTGGAAGAACCAGCTCCGGGTGAGTTGGAGAAGAGGCTAGGGTCGGTTGGAAGAGCCAGAATATAGTGGATTTGTGTGAAGAGGTCAGTGTCGGTTGGAAGAGCTAGTGCTAGGTGGATTTGTTTGAAGAGCCAGCGCCTGGTGAAGAGGGCAGCACCAGGTGGATTTGTGTGAAGAGGCCAGTGCTGGTTGGAAGAGTCAGCACTGGGTAGTGTGAAGAGACAACGCCTACTGAAGAGGGCAGCACCAGGTGGATTTGTGTGAAGAGGCTAGCGCCAAGTGGATTTGTGTGAAGAGGCTAGCGCTAAGTGGATTTGTGTGAAGAGGCTAGCGCCAGGTGGATTTGTGTGAAGAGCCAGCGCATAGTGAAAAGGCCAGCGCCGGGTGGATTTGTGTGCAGCGCTGGTTGTGTCTCTGACTTACATATGAGTTGTGTATGTCACTTGTTATATGCATGTTGATTGAGCCACATGTTCAAATTTTACAGTCTATTGGTGACACTTGACCAACCACCTCAACCCAAAAGTACTTAAGCCCCCTTCCTCACCTGTGCCACTCATACTTACTTTATTTCTCTGTCTCTAAGACACAAGGTGGGAAGATGTGACTGTCGTTGGGCAACCATAGTTGGGTGGGTGAGAGCTGTGAGGAGAGCAGTGGAGAAGACATCAATGTTGGTTATGTAAGTGGATCCACCACCATTGCATCATAGTCGTAAGGATGCAGGGAATTTATGCATGTAAAATGAGAATGAAAGTGTATGTGATGTAAGAAAATCCTTACGCCTTTTTATTTAGATATTGGGGCTTTTATTCTATGATAATGGTGAATGTCAAGCATGAATACATGATTCTTAGATTATGTAAGAAATGCATGTTATGCATGATTATGTGTATGTTTACATTGTGAAAGAATGGTTGGTATCATGTGCCTCACCATGAAATGAAGATCATGGAATGTATGCTTGAGACATGTTGTATGTCACTATGAAATTCCAGAAGTTTGCATGTTCTTATAGGAGACTTTTGAATAGCCAAATGGGATCCGATTGACCTCAAACCACCCCCATCAGAAAGATATACGAGTCTAGTAAAATATTTTTTTTTACCCATTTATGAAATTATTTTAAAAAATGAAGTTATGTTTCGAAATGAGAAGGTTTATCATTATTGATTGTTATCCTGGAATTTTCATTTATACCACTGTGGTCACTAATTTTAGCTAGCCAAACGAAGTTCATTTTTGGCTAAACCATATCCATTTGAAAGATCTTTGAATGGGCTAAAATTTGCATGAGGAAACTATTTCGAAAAGCTTCCTAGATTGAAAGTTATACCTTGCTTTATGAAGGTAAGTCACTGTAGGCAGTATTGATAAAAATTAGAACTATCACCTTGTTTGCCATGAATTTTTGAACCACCAAATGGAATCCAAATTGTTTTAGATATGGTTTGTTAGAAAGATATATGTCTTGGCTTAAACTTTTATTTTGTACCTGTCATAAGTTGCCTTACGGTTTGAATGTTATAGTGATTCGAAGCAGAGTATGTTGTTGTCCACTGTACACAGTAGGGGGCAGTTAGTTAACCCACATTTCCTTGAACCTTTAAGAGGCCAAACGGAATCCTGTTTTATTTAAACCACTCCCAAGTGAGGGATTGGTGTGCTTGGTACGAATTGATTTTGGGACCATCTTCAAACTCTAAATGGTCCAAAAGTTAGGACCCCAATTGTGAGCGTACGTACGCATGCATAATAATGAAGTTATGCTCTGCTATGACATGGAAGCATGATTATGATGAATGCCCTGTTGTGATATGAGTTGCATGATCTTAATAATGCTTATGTTATATGTGAATGGATACCTATTGTGCGAAAGATGGTATCATGATGCTTATGCTATATGTGAATGGATACTTACTGTGTGAATGATGGTATCATGATCCTTATGTTATATGTGAAT